ATTTTCAATTTTACATGAAAATATAGAAACTAAAAACATTCTTAACCCTATAAATAACATTATACTAAGACCATTATCCACCTAAACTATCGTTTATAATTATTACTATTATTAAGAAGGAAGTATATTTAAAATTTGAAGAGACTTAAAAATATTAAATTTTAGATGAATCTAAAAATTAAATATGTTAAAATTTAGAGTGACATAATTATTTTTTTAAATAAATTTTATATTTTAAGAAATTTATAGGAACTCAAAATATATTTTATTCTAAAAAAAAGTCACAATTGAAAATAACTTTTCATTGTAAAAGTTTAATTTACAAATCAACTATTAATCTCTAATTATTATATCCTGTCAAAACTTACTGTTATGATAAGTCTGATTTAATTATAACAATCGAATAAAAAAATTGATGTTTTAGTGTGAATTATATTTTAAAACTACTAAATTTTTTAATCTAGGTCAATTTTGATTTGATTAAAATATTTTCTAAGAAAATATTAACATGTTTATACTAAATTAATTAATAAAAAAATAAAAAAAATATTTTAAAATTTTCTTAATAAAATTAGTTTTTAATTTTAAGATATAATAATTTAATATATAAATTATAAGATAATGTACAGTTAAATTTCAAAATAAAAATTAAAAAATTATTCTTTATTATTAGATTTTAAAATATGTAATTATTAAATATTTATTATGATATTTGCTTTTAAACGAATCCTTCTCAAATTAATTGATAATATATATATATATATATATATATATATATATATATATATAAAATATTTAATAAAATAATATTTTTTTATTTATATTTATAAAATAATTATTATTCTATAATGACATGTAAGATATAAGTTAGAGTAAAATAGATTTTGAAGTTCATCAAACTAAGCTTAGTTTGATACTCTATTATACTATATTCTAGTTTGTATATATCATTTTATATCTTTTTGTCTTTTTTTCGTTAATTCATAGAACCGTTGTTTTTTTTTTAATATTTGGTTATTTTTTCCATCCAAAATAAAATATACAGAAAAAGTAAAAAACTTATCCAAATAAAAATAATTATAATAAATATTAACCAAAAGTCTACGAAAATAATGATACATTATATTAAAGATTAAATATCAATTTTAAATATAAAAATAAGTAAAATTACATTTAGTCTTTTTTATTAATTTTATCGAGATGAAAAATAAAAATTAAGTATTATATTTAAATATAATAAAATTAAAATGATATATTTTTAGAAGTTTGAAGACAGACATAGATGAATTTGAAAATACGAAGTTATGAAAAATGTAAGATGAAAACATATTTTTCTCTTGTATTTAACTCTCTAAGGCAAAACCAAATTGCATTATATATTAAACTTGTATCAAGAACGGTTTTCTTTCTAACATAGAATCCTTTCTATTTATAAAACGTTCATAAAAGTCATATTTATTTTAGTTTTCTATGTCCTACAACCTTTGGAAGGAAGGGGTGAAGAAGAAATGCGAAAAAAAAAAAAAAAAAACTAAAAAAAGGGTGACATGTGATAAAACATAATTCTTTAATTGTACTTATTTTGTTCGAATTCGATAAACTGTATAAAATATAAAAGAGTTGGTCTGGGAACGGCACTAAAGATTGACACAGGTCCCTCCCAGAGCAGACATGAAAATCTTTTCGACTTTTCTAAAATCTTTTTACGGACACATACATCACTCAAATTTCATGTTCTCTTTATGTGGCCATGGAATCGGTGGGGGTTTGTTTCCCCCATGAATCAAACACTCTTCTTCTTTATTTTCGTACAACTTTTCTTATGTGATTCATTATTTATTTGGTCCTATTAACAAACTAGATGGAGTGAGAGATTGAGGCATGTCGTGTAGGATTTAGGAATGTTCCTCCATACTTCAATTGGATGCATGCCATTTTCTTCTTTCTACCACACCAATATAAAATTTGTTGCACATAATCCAATCCAATCTTGGTCTTTGTTTTTTGGTAGCCTTCTTCTTGTACCTGTTGCATTTCCCAGCTACTCTCCTCAATCATACACTCAACATTTGCATTATCAAAACCAATTCTCAATTCATAATTCTTGTCGGGTTCCATGTATCAGTTCATGGCCAGTGAGACTACAACACAAATCACTCAACCTACTTTTTTTTTCCCTCTCCATAAAATTCTTCTGACGATGATAAATAGTATCACTGGACTCACATTTTCTCCACAACGTGACTCAGTGGAATAAATTCTAAGCAAATTTCTTCTCATATGTGATTTTGTATTTTTTTTTTTTTTAAAATAGTTATCTTATTAGAGTGTGAAGTATCTACCATTATAATGACTAATTTCAAAAAAGAAAATCACTTTAGGAGACAAAACCTCGCTAAAAAAATTAAAATATATATATATATATATATATATATATATATATATATATATAACAAAACTAAATTATAAAAAAATGATTAATTTATTTTATTAATGTTTAAATTTTAAATTAATATCAGGATGATAAATATATTCACTAACAAATTATACCTTTGCTTTCAGAAAAACAATTCCAGAAACAGCAAATTTTTAACATACTCATTTCAAAATAACAATCCAAAATATATTTTTAAATCATTGTAGGATACGGAATGAATTTTAAATTGTTTTAAAAAAGTGATTCTACAGTAATAAATTTGATTATAAAGTGTTGCGGAATAAATTTTATTAAATGATCTTTCTAAAATAAATAAAAGTTTCGTGAGAGATGCAAAGACAGTTTGAAAAAATTTGATACTTTTTGAGGATATGTACGCGATGCAGGAAGAAAAGGCCTCGAAAGCCCATACCTTAAAGCAATGGGCCGAAAAATATATGAGATATGCAGAGGCCACTTCAATTTAATAACCTACTTTTTTCTGTCTTTCATACACTTTAAATGCATTTTTTTTATTTGACACCAACACCAAATTTACCAACTATTTATAGCATTCTCTAGATAAGGTAAATTTTATGTGCATTTATTTACTTCTTCAAAAGAAGGAAGAAGTGTGAGTTTACTTGGAATTAATTGGAAAAATATAGAATTAGTGAAATTATAAATGGAATGAAATTAAAAAATAATCCAACAACTTTCCATTTTATTTCATTTTTTTCTTTTAATCCAACCATTGTGTTATTATTAATAAGTAATTGGTTAACAATATGTGTCATTTTTAGTTCTCATTTAGGAACATCAATGCTTTGTTTAGATAACTAGTCCTTAAAAAATAAAATAAAAAATTAATAAATTTTCGTAAGTTGATTTAAAGAAGCTAATATGAACAAATTTTATAAATTAAATTGCACAAATCATCTAAACATACTCCAAAATGTTTTTTTAACAGATACTTTGTTTTCTGATGTGACACCTTCCAAAATTCAAATTCATTTAAACATTGAATGTTTCCCCATTCACTTCCAAAAAAAAAAAAAGAGGTATCCCTATGTCACTGTGTGACACCTACAAAATAATCCATCGAGATGTAGTATGACTCTTCAAAGCTTCCAAGACGAAGAACATGGTTCATGTTTTGCATTTCAGGTTTCACCATCGAGAGTTGGATACACTTTCTATCTCACAAGAAATGACAACATTGACCAACCCCCTTAACAAGAAAAAGTAATGGGACACTAATCATTTCAAATCAATCATTTAATAACACCATTAATTACATTACTTACTAGTACACTACAATACACTGTCCATTCCTCATATATCTCTTGATTTTGCAGTGACTTGGGAGCAAATCATGCACTTAATCGCTCCTTTTTTCCTGTTTCGGAACGGTCAAGATTGGGTTTTAATTACACGTTTTTTATTATAAGAAGAAGCACTTTCGATAAAGTAGGAGGAAGTTTTATATTAATGGATTGGAGGTGCATCCTCCTTATGATTTGTCAATTTCTTCTTCTATGGCTAATGTTTAGATTTGTCGTGTTCTTATTTATTCCCTCTGCTTCAAGTTTGGTGTAGTTTATTACGATTAATAAATCATAATTTAGCGTAATCAAAGATATTTTCTGGATTAGGTGTACTGTGATGAAGGGATACGGATAGAGAGATAATTGGTTGGAATTCCCGTACCCACACGTCACAACACATCTTTTTTCTTAGGACCCTCACAAGCCAGAAAAACAAGCGCGTACTGCACAACTGCGCCGGAGCGCGTGGTCTCCATCTTGTAAAAGTAGAACACGACAAGTTGGCCATGTCTTACCCGTTATACCATTCCTGTACTGCACCCAATCTTTATAAACAGTACACACTCATTACATGAGGGGCTATTTTTTCCTAGAAAATATTTTGGTGTGTACTATTTATTATTTTTTTATAAAAAATTGAACTGGTTTTAGTGACAATTTGGATTTGGACCAAATTTAACAATCTATCAAAACACGTATTCAATATACAGAATTAGTAACCAAAATCAAAGGTTGTCTTAATGACACCAATTCAAAATCACAATAAGATGCTTTGAAGCTTGAAACATAAATGATAACTTATATTGTAAAGCAATAAAACATTACAATTCAAGGCTAGCAATGAATATACAATGCTATCTATATATTCAGTTATAAATGGTAGATCATTATTAGACTAAGATATCAAAACACACCATGAACCATCCTTTGTGGCAACAAAATTCAAATTACATGAATAAATTAAATTAAGTAGAAGAAAGCAAAGAAAAGTGAATTGAAGAAGGGTAAAAAATGACACCAAAATGCAAGTATTTAGTTACAAGCCTGCCTGTTGGTAGGGTAGTATATATCCCTCCCTAAATTAGCTGATTGTCCATCAAATGCTAGTTAACACAAACATGAACACCACAAAATTACACAAACACAAAACACCCCATACATATAAAAATATACTATGTCATCTTTAATATACCACACAAGGCTAATCAGAGTCATTAGCAGTTGCCTAAATCATTGCATCGAATCTATGTTCTTACTCAGCTCCTCCAGCTTCTTCATCCTCAATCTTTCACTTTCACTCACCAACTGAACATAACAACAATATCCCACGTGTTACAATGAAGATAATTATTTATGTATTCAAATCCAAATCATTCACAACATGAGACTAACCTCCATCAACTTGGTGATTAGCTGTACTTTTTCCCTGTTCTTGTCATTAAAAGCTTCAAGGGCGTCTTTGTATTCTTTCTCCTGAAAAACATCCAAAACAACCTAATTTCAATGGTGTTCTCAATCAAATGTCATGCCCGTATAAGTCGCCACTCTCTGCCATATTATTCAACGACTATTAATGGTTTCTGAGAAATTCAATTAACTTCACCTTCTTCTGGCAGGCATGACCCAGTGGCTTTAATTCTTTGTTTACGGAATCAATCTTTTTCCGAACAAGAGCAACTTCTTTCCTCATTGGATCTGCCAAGGCTTCAAGCTCCTGAGATTCCATAAATAAAACAAAGTTTGGGATTATTCAATTGCATACCAATTTGCATATAACTGACAAAACTGTAGACGCAATACAAGCATAAACATCTCAGCATGAATTATTACTCTCAGTTGTTTATTCAAAGCAGATATTTTAAAATTTTGATATATTGCTCTAAGAACACACTGGCCAAAGAATTAGAGAAAGGAAATATATGAATTATTTTTCCATAGCCCGACACGGCTATCTGACAAGAAAGTTCAAATTTTGAATTCTTTTCCTCAAAAAAAAACACATCGGAAAAGAAAAAGAGAACGTTTTGGGGGCTGCAAATCTACTTTGTCGAGAACAAAACCACAGATCGGACACATCCAAGAGCTCTAGATGTTCTATAAGCCACTGTTATTCTCTTGGTCACAACATAGCCCGAATTAATTAAAAAAATCATAAAAAAAAACTGAAAAAGACCAGAGCTTCTTGATTTGATAAAAAAAAACCAACCCAACCTCGTTAAAATCCTATTTTTTTATGGGAGAAAAAAATCATAATTTTCCCATGCAAGGCTGTAGCAAACTCTTGTGAAAAGGCCACAAATAATGTTTTGTTTTAAGTCATGAATTAATTCTTAGTACCCTGGCTTGGTCAAATTATTTGAAAAAAAAAAAAAAGAAAGAATTTTAAGGAGATGAGGTGTTCAGATGAGTTATGAACAAAGCAAACTAAAACAAGGTTAACCAGTTAAGTAAAGCTGAAAATTGAGAGAAAAGATAGTTAATTGGGAAAAGAGAAGGTGAGATACCTCACGAATGGTGGCAAGACGCTTGGTTTCTTCCTCAACACGACCTAACTGAAGCTGAACCTTTTCTCTAACCTCCATCTTCTTCCTTTCAATCTCTTCCTCCTTGGCCCTGAAGGTGGAGAGAGCAGACCTGGACATCTCTTCATCTTCCTTGGACAAATGGCTGCTGAAGCTGAGGCTCCCTGAATTCTGCACTACCAACTGGTTGTTGTTGTTGCTCTGTTGCTCACTCTGCATCCTGTCCAACCCTTTCACACAAACCCTTCTTCTTGCTTAAGTTTTTTCTCTCTGTGTTATCCCCTCCTTTCCTCCTTCTCTCTCTCTGGTTGCTCTTTTTCTTTTCTGCTTTCTCTTTTTTGTTTTTGTGCTTTGTTGGCCTTGAAATGATGAGGGTGCAGTGGTGTGGTGCTTCCCCTGTTGCGAGTGCGCGTCTTATGTAGTAGAGTGGAATGTTATCTGGGAGGGTTGCCCTTTGTTTAAGGCCCTTCTGGCGTCAAACCGTCTCACCTTACCCCTTTTGCCTTTATGGACCAAACATTTACTTTCATTTTCTAAATTAATGCAAAATCTCCAACGTTCATATTTAGATAACATAAAAGATAAAACATCAAAGCAATTTAATTTTTATAACAATCTTTTTTAAGTTTTACAAACAACCCAAAACATAAACCATGTTGACTGAAATTATTAAATTGTAATTTTCTTAACGGAGATAATATAATAATGTGAATTTGACAATAATATGAACCTATTATATTCAGAAATAAGAAATTAAAAAAATGTTTTTTTACTGTTTTCTATCACATCATGCAATTCTTTCTCTATTATTTTTATTTTGTCGTTAAAATTTAGAAATACCTGTCACTTTGGTCTTTTCTTCTTAGCTAAACAAAGAATGATAATAAAATATTATTGAAGGATCTGTGGGTGACCTGTTCCAACTTACCCCCTTTCGTCCCAGCTTGGCTTACCCTTTTGAAACCCCAAATAAACATGACAAAGAAAAATATAAAAAAAGACAAAGATTACAAAAGCACAAGCTGATCCGGCCCAACTGCCAGACAATCACCGATGATGATGATACAGAGGAAGTGCCCTTCAACTTTACTGAAACAAAGATTATTGCCTTTGTTTTAGTTTATATCAATCAATTAATCTCTCACCTCATCTCTCTCTCTCTCTCTGGCTGGACAAGAGAAACACTACCACTGTAGTAGAATGGAACAACCTTGGAATTTGAGCATGGAGTTCTTTCCCACACATTCTTTCTAAAATTGAGTTCAAATTAATTCGTGACAGTGAAAAATCGATACAAGGATCGAAAAATAGAAGAGAGAAAATCGAAAATCATATGATTGGTTAAAAAGTTGATAAATCGGAAAGATGGTCGAAAGACACTCGGTGGCCACGAGATAGTATGAACATATAAATCGAGAATGGAAATCAAGAATCAGAAAAGAGAGAAACAAATCAATGAAAGTAATGATAAAGTATAGTGTAAAGTCAAGACTAAGGGAAATTGTACTCGATAACTGGAATCGAGATCGAGGGAAACGGTTAAAATGCACATAGAACGTGGAAGCGGTTTTCTAAACCGTAAGCTAAGGTAAAAATCGAGGAATGTGCACATGGAATGTGGTGACAGTTTTTTAACTGCTCTTGGGAGGTTATATTGAAGGATGCCTATAAATAGAACGAAGCTTGAAGAAGAAAGAGGAAATTGGCAGAGACAACAGAAGCACAAGTGAAAAGTCTACCGGAGAACGACGAATCATGAAATTTCTGGCGATCTGGATTTCCATTTTCATTGACTGTTTTTACCGCTTTCTTTACTTTTCCTGGTAACTTATTTACAATCATCAATTTAAGTTCCTGTACCTTAAATTTTTGTCATTTCCTTCAATGCAATATAAGATTCTGTACTTAAATTCTCCTGCATTTACCGTTTTTGCAATTTCGATTTCCTGTTATTTACATTTCTGCAATTTCAATTCCTTGCCATTTACATTTAAACAATTTGATATTCTACATTGTTTCTTCGATTCGATATTTTCTTCTTTATTGTTGTCTTTACTTCGAGTTTCTTAATACAAAATATCAAAAAATAGTACTTTCGATTGTCAATCAGCACACTAGGTTGCATCGTTAGCGTTTCCTAATACTATGAGATTTTTTATTCTCATACATGTTTTGATTGAAAATTGTCGCTAGCCTAAGTGAAAAGAATCTACGTGGTCGAGATTTGATCAGAACCTAAGAAATCGAAATCGATCAAATTTTCACCAGAAACAAATTGGCGCCAGGTAGGGGGTAGTTGTGTCGAAAAACACAAAAATTGGCTAGTTCGAAAGTGTATGAGATTAAGGAGTGGGCGAGTAATAAAAATGAGTCAAAATCCACCAAATAATCAGAATAACAGTGAGATTCTAAATAGTTCACATTCACCAAACACTGGGGGGCAAGTTCACAATGGGAATATGCCCATAATATCGACAACTGTGAGTACGTCGATACCTGTGAGTACTGAACAAAGCTCAAGCACATTAGCAAACACTCAGTTAGGGTCTAGTACTATGATATCAAATAATATGCAAACTACGGGAAACCCCGTAACAACATATGCAGGTCCGCATATGAGTGTAAGGCCGCCTGGTTTTTCGTTTAATAATATGAATGGGGCTGGTACTTCTTCAATACAACGAAGTACGAGATTTAACCTCGGAATGCCCCAAAATTTAGGAACATTTCAAACCTTAGGTATGCCTCAAAATTTTGGAGTATCCCCAAATTTAAGGGTGTCTCAAAATTTAGTAACGTTCCAGAATTCAGGGAATGCACAGAATTTAGGAACACAACAGACGTCTCCAATATCAAACCTAGATCACAAAGCAAACCTGGATCACGGGAGATATACATTTGATAGAGATTATCATCGACCCAATTTTGAGACTATCGAAAACGCTAGTACTGGAATTTCTAGTAATTCATTAGGAGTACTTCGACAACAAATTGATGAAAGCAATTTCGAGATGGTTAACGTGTTATCACAACAGTTGACTACAGTACTAAACTCATTAGTTCAAAACACTACCGCTAGTTTTGAGATATTAGCAGACCAAATGACACGTATCGGGGATGCATTGGCAATACCTCGACAAACGAGGGTCGAAAATAATGTCAATCAGAATATTAACCAAAACGCTAATATTAATCCCCTTTATTTATTAAGGAGAAATCGAAACAATGATCAACATCAGCATGTGGGGAATGAATATCAGCATGTGAGGAATGATACTTATGGAAATTAAAATGAGGGATGTCAAAATATGTATAATCAAAATAACATGCAGTACAATCACATGTTGGGACAAAGGATGAATCCCCAAGGAGTGGAATTAAGATCACCCAATCAACTGTACTTTGTTTCCCCTTTTCTAAATACGATTCTCAAGACAGAATTACCTCGAGGATACAAAATACCCAAATTCACCAAATTTGCTGGAGAAATTGGTGAATCCACAATCGAGCATGTGGCGCGATATCAAATCGAATGTGAGGACCTAACGATGAGTGAGGAATTAAAAATGAAATACTTTCCTAGTTCATTAACAAAGAATGTTTTCACTTGGTTTACGTCGTTGCCACCTAATTCGATATATAATTGGTTGCAGTTGGAAAGAAATTTTCATGAGCAATTCTTTAGGGGGGAGACTCAAGTAAGTCTTATCGACTTAATAAATATAAAGAGACATAATCATGAAAGTGTAGATGATTATTTGAATAGATTTAGACAAATGAAATCGAGATGATTTACTCAAATTCCCGAATTTGAATTAGTCAGAATGGCCTCTGCAGGCTTAGAATTCTCGATTAGGAAAAAATTAGTTAATTTACCATTGAATGACATGGCTCAGCTAGATGATAAAGTGAGAAGAGTGGAACAAATCGAATATGAGAAACAAAGGTACAAGAAATTTGAGAAACCTATGAAGAAAGATAGGGTAGCGTATATAAATGACATATATGAGGAAAATCCCAGGATAGAAGTAGATATTAAAGAATCCATCGATGAGAAAGTAAATATAGCAGAGCTCAAAGTAGGAGCTCCATATATTTGTAAACTGCTACAGAAAAATGAATTAAAGGACAAAATGGCGAATCGCACATATACTTTTGATGTAACAAAGGCAGATAAAATCTTCGATATCTTATTGAAAGATAAACAGATTAAGTTAAGTGATGATCATAAATTACCTTCAGCAGAACAAAGAAATGGTCGGAAATATTGCAAATTTCATAATATCTATGGACACTGGACTAATAATTGTATACATTTCAGGAACACGATCCAAGATGCGATCGACCAAGGAAGGTTGTAGTTTGAGGAGATGTCAATGAAAGTAGATACGAGTCCGTTTGAAGTTCAAGTAGGGTATGTCGAATCCCAAACAGGCATGACTGAAGATGACCGATTGATAAATTCGATCTTTATAGGTATGGTCGATGTTACTGAAGACATTGATCTCAGACATGTCAGAATAGACATGTCAGAAGAAGACATAGAGTTCGACCTAAGCGAGTTCGAGAAAGAATTCGAGAGAGAGAGATCTATCCTCGATCAGAAGATTCCCTCGTCGAATTTTTAAACATAAGGAAAGAGAAGGACGAAGGTGTGACATTATGTCCACGTTGCAGTGTGGTGTTCGACAGATCAGCTGCTAAAGCCTTCAAGGTAGGACAGATCAAGGAAATAGAAGATCAACATAAAAGTTACAATGATAAAGTAGATCAAACAGCCCAAGCTACGGTAGGGGAGAGTCAGCAGAAATCTGTTGGTTCTGGCGCTAGTAGAAATCAGAAACAATGGGTTAGGAAAGAAATGTATTCTCCTCAGGAAGGAAGGGGCAGACTTCAAAATAATGATGTTTTCGACATACTTTCATATGATGAAGGATCAAATACTGGATTCCCTACATTCCAAAGGAGATTTCGAGGAAGGCCTTGGAGGAGAGGAGGAAGGATCCCTTATTGGGGAAGGATTAATGATTATAGGAACTTTGAAGAAAGTAATATACCAATTGGGGGTCAATATGTAAGAGACTTTGTCGGTGACAAAAAAGGAGGTAATTGGGATGGACATCAAATTGGAGTAATATCGATACTGCCCGCGGAATATGTTAGCGAGTATGAGGAGTATCAAGGGCAAAGTAATGTCGATCAAGAGGACGATTTCTATT